AACTTTTTTTTTTTTTTTTGAGACAGGGTTTCTCTGTGTAGTTTTGGAGCTTGTCCTGGAACTCACTCTGTGGACTGGCCTTGAACTCACAGAGATCTGCCTGCCTCTGCCTCTTGAGTGCTGGGACTAAAGGCATGAGCCACCACGACCCAGCTCTGGAAACATTTCTTTAAAGTGTCTTTTCTCAATCTTGTTACCTTCTCTCCAGAACCAGAAGCCATTATTTGAATATTGTTTGTAATTTTCTTTATAATTTTAACACACAATTCTGTGTCATAAATACAACCATACCACATGATTTCTTTTCCCACTTAATGCTGTATACTTGACATCCATTTCATCTTTGATACAGTCCAGATGCTAATCTTTGCTGTGACATGTTTTTTGGTTTGTCTTTTTTCCTTTCCTTCTTTTCTCTTTTTTGCTAAGTAGCCCAGGCTGGCTTTGAACTTGTGATCCTCCTACTTTGGTTTCCGAGGAGAACCCCCAAGCTTGCAGTTCTATACATTTCAAAAAAATTCTCAGTTGCAGTGGACTGACAGTATACTTCAATGGTAGACTGTTTTCCTGGCTTGAACAAGGCTCTGAGGTTTAATCCCCAGCACTGAAACAAAACAAAATGAATACCAATGAAAAACTAATTGTAGGTATACACTTCTGTCTCTGTCCATATTTTCTGGCCCTGGCAAATTGAATTGGCTCATCATGGTTGAGAGAATCAAGCTAGGGGAAGGGCTGGGTGCTGGGGCACACATCTGTAATCCTGGCACGATAAAGCACTCTAAATGAGAAGGCAGGACGATATCTGAGTTCCATGTCTACCTAATCTACATAGAAATTCCAGGTCAGTCAGAGCTACACCATGAGAACTTGTCTCCAAAAATGGGGAGGGAATGGCTGGGGATGTAGCCCAGTGGTGATCAAGTCACGTGTTAAAACCCAAGGTTCAATGTCCAGTACTACTCCCCCCAAATAGGTAGTCAATGGTGAGGGAGAAGGTAGAATTACCAGTGGCACAGGCCCTAGATATAGAAAGGTACACCCACCCCCACACCCACCCCCGGGAATGAGTGTCTTGGCCTGCAGATCAGAGGCCGATATTCAGCTTCCATTCACTCCTTCAGCCAGGGCCTTTGTGCAGGGTCTCCTCCACAGCTGCCCATGATGCCGCACGGAGCAGGTCGGACACGACAAACCCTCCTGTACCGCTCTGTCCTCAGGGTCTGAAGTCCAACATGACACGTCTGTATCAGCTCATGACGGAGCCGCAGTTCACACGCTGCTCCAAACCTGCCAAGTATAAGAAGCTGCTGTTCGCGCTCTGCTTCTTCCACTCTATATTACTTGAGCGCAAGAAGTTTTTACAGCTGGGCTGGAATATCATCTATGGTTTCAACGACTCCGACTTCGAGGTTTGTGCTGACCAGGGGTCTCCCACGGCAGCCCTCTCTTCTCGTCCCGCGGCTCTTTTTTGGGACTACGGGCTGCCAGAAAGCTGACGTTTAGCCCCTCTGGGAGAGTTCTTGCCATAACTATATGGGGCTGGGGGCTTGGGTTGGGACCACACACAGGTGTCAGAGAATCTGCTGAGCCTCTATCTGGATGAGTATGAGGAGACGCCCTGGGATGCACTCAAATACCTCATTGCCGGTGTCAACTATGGGGGACATGTCACAGATGACTGGGATCGACGCCTGCTCACCACCTACATCAATGATTACTTCTGTGACCAGGCTCTAACAACTCCCTCCTACCGGTGAGGGGAGGTAGCCCTGAGGAAAGGGTAAAAGGATATAAACAGACTAGGGGTCAGGATTGAGTGTGTGTGTGTGTGTGTGTGTGTGTGTGTGTGAAAATGGAAACTGTGGAATTGGGAGGCAAAGCAAGAGCCATGAGTTAGAAAATGAGGAAGCATTGAGACTGGGGTCTGGGCTTGGCTTGGATGCCCTTCAAGCCCTCCATTGTGGTGATACTCTGTTGTGGCTGCCCAGGTTGTCTGTACTGGACACTTACTTCATCCCCAAGGATGGGAGTTTGGCCTCTTACAAAGAATATATCAGCTTGCTGCCCAGCATGGACCCCCCTGAGGCCTTTGGCCAACACCCCAATGCTGACGTGGCCTCCCAGATCACTGAGGCCCGGACCCTCTTTGAGACTCTGCTTTCTCTGCAACCCCAAATCACACCCACCAGGATTGGTGGCCAGAGCCGAGAAGAGAAGGTAGAAAAACCGAGGTTGCCCCGTGGGAGGGAACATGTTGAGAAAGGCCTGGCCAGCACCAAGCTCCTGCCTCCCTAGGTCCTTGAGTTAGCTGCTGATGTGAAGCAGAAGATTCCTGAGATGATCGACTATGAGGGGACCCGGAAGTTACTGGCTCTTGACCCCTCCCCGCTCAATGTGGTCCTCCTGCAGGAGATCCAGAGATACAACAGCCTGATGAGGACCATCTTGTAAGTGGAAGGAGAGAGGCCTCAGCCCATGGTGGGGAGGTTCTCCCAGACCAGCACCTCTTTTAATACTCCACCCACTTCCTTCCACCCAGGTTGTCACTGACAGACTTAGAGAAGGGCATCCAGGGCCTCATCGTTATGTCAACAAGCCTGGAAGAGATTTTCAATTGCATCTTCGATGCCCATGTCCCTCCACTCTGGGGAAAGGCAAGACCCCACCACTGTCAACCCTAACCCTGAACCTCTTCACTTCGTTCTCAGGAAGCATAGAGCAGACTTCAGGAAACCCGGGGTTCCAGTCTAGACAGGTTCAAGGTGTTGAAATCTGGTGCCATTCACTAACTGACTTCAGAACTTATTAACTTACAGATGTATTCACATTAACTTCTATTTCAAAGACCTCCCCCAGTACTGTACATGGTACTAAGTAAGTACCTGGTTATTGCAGAACAAGCGTCCCTAATCCAAAAATCTGAAATCTGAAACGTGGCAAGCATCATGTTCAAAAGGTTTTAGTTGGCCAGGCGGTGGTGGTGCACGCCTGTAATCCCAGCACTCAGGAGGCAGAGGCAGGTGGGTCTCTGTGAGTTTGAGACCAGCCTGGTCTACAGAGCTAGTCCAGGAAAGGCGCAAAGCTACACAGAGAAACCCTGTCTCGAAAAACCAAAAAAAAAAAAAAAAAAAAAAAAAGTTTTAGTGACCAATTTTGGATTAGGGATCCTTAACCAATAGTCTGTGCAAATATTCCACACACACCCCAAAAACCAGTGAGAAATCTGAAACACTTCTAGCCCTGTGCATTTTGGGTAAAGGATTATCTGTAGTGATATCATTGTTATTAACGAGTAGTTGCTATTGTATGCTTTTCTCCCGGGAGTTAACATGTGGTATCGGCCTGATACCACACAGCCGTCTCATAGCTGTCCCAGGTGTTCTTAATGAGGATGTGAAAGCATCCTGGGATGAGCAAACCATGCACTGCCTCCTCTTTTAGGCGTATCCCTCACAAAAGCCTTTGGCTTCATGGACCCGGGACCTGGCTGTGCGTGTGGAACAGTTTGAGCTGTGGGCCAGTCGAGCGCGCCCTCCTGTGATCTTCTGGCTGTCTGGCTTCACGTTCCCCACGGGTTTCCTCACGGCTGTGCTGCAGTTCTCAGCTCGCCAGAACAATGTGAGCAATGTGTGCGGTGGGATCGGGGACGGAGGCTGGGGGCGGAGCCTGGGCGCGGGATCTGTTCTCTTTGGGGGCTACCTTCATTGCCACCTTCCGCCCACAGATTTCAGTGGACTGCCTCTCTTGGGAGTTTATAGTTTCCACTGTGGATGACAGCAACCTGGTGTATCCACCCAAGGTGGGAGTTAGATGAGCTTGGGCTTCTGAGCAAAGGGTCAGGTGGAGGAGGACTGTGGGAAGAGAAGGGAGGCTAGAGGAGTTAGGTCAAAGGTACTGACAACTTAGGGTCTAGATTTCCCCCCAAACCTGTCTCCATCTCTCCCCAGGATGGTGTGTGGGTTCGCGGCCTGTACCTGGAGGGTGCTGGCTGGGACCGAAAGAACTCTTGTTTAGTGGAGGCAGAGCCCATGCAGCTGGTCTGCCTCATGCCCACGATCCACTTCCGACCAGCAGAGAGCCGCAAGAAAAGTGCCAAGGGTGGGAAACTGCCCCCTCCCCATCCTTTGTCCAGTCCTCAAACGCACCTGCCTTGATCTTCCAGGTTCCAGAGTCTGACAGTCTTTTCCTTCCCCCTAGGCATGTACTCCTGTCCCTGCTATTACTATCCCAACCGGGCAGGCAGCACAGATCGGACCTCCTTTGTCATAGGCATCGATCTCCGATCTGGAGCCATGACATCTGATCACTGGATTAAGAGGGGAACTGCTCTACTGATGAGCCTGGACAGCTGATCAGCGCCCCCCACCCCTCGCTTCTTTCCTACTGCAGAGGGTCGGGAGCCCTAAGACTCTGACCTAAAGCTGGATCTCAAACTTTGATCTTAGCTGAATCCAGCATATAATGGTGCCCCGGAGGTACCTAGTGGCGCTAGCAGTAAAGGTGGAGGCCTTGCATTGGAGCTCAGCACAGTAAAACACATGCAAACCCAAGCTCCCGGTCTCTCAGTGATGGTGATGATTTAGTGTGCGTTGGGGTGGAGGAAACCGGAGGGAAGCTGGGACTTACTCGTGGGAAGGAGTAAGAACTAAGAGGGAAATGGGGTGGCCTCTAGCGAGAGGGAGGCGTGGCCTCGAACTACTAGCCGGCCTAGCCTAAAGGGATGTGACTAAATCTCGGGGGAAGGGCTTGAGCGGGCGGGGCGGAGCTTGCTTTGGAAGGGCGCGGGATCCAAACGGAATAGAGCTTTTTCAGGTGAGGGTCCAGGATAGGCTCTGTACACCGCACCCTAGACATTGCAATCCTGACTCGGAATCCTAGTCTGACAACACAGCTGAGGCGAGCCGGACTGAAGGCGGGGCGGAGCAGGAGAGGGACTTCAGCGCAAAGGGGCGGGACCACGACTCGGGGGCGGGGTTGGGGAATGGGGGGCGGGTGCGAGTGTTTGTGTTGGAAAATCAAACTGCGCCACGGGGTAGGGCGGCCCCCCCAGTCCCTGTCTGGGAGAGGGGGGGCCCGCTCGACCCCCAGGAGGCCTTGCGGACCCTGAATATCTGGGACCCCCAGAACCAGGTAATGGGGAGCCGCAGGGACTTTTGGAAAGAGGGAAGCCATCTCCGTGCAAGGGGGCGGGACGTCAGACTCTGGAGGGGTCTGGCTAGGGATGGGCATTTGTGTCTTGGAAAAAGCAATGGCAAAGTTGGGGCGCAGGACATCCAGGTTCCCCAGAAGTGAACAAGGCAAAGGTCGCGGAAAAACTGGTCTTGGTTCTAAAGGTCAAGAGGGCCTGAAACTACTCCCAGTCCCCGTTGGGATGGGGACTTAGCCCAGGGCGGGGCTCAGCGATCCTGAGGAGCAAGACTACAGGGCAGTTTGCCGTAAGGTCTAGGGCTGGGCGATCAGGCATAGTGAGCCTCCAGTTACGGGGCTACTTGAAGGCTCCTTCCAGCTCTTTCCCCTGGTGAGATGTGTATTTCTCAACCTTCACCATCCCACCAGGAGCGGTAGCTTTTCCCAGCTCCCCAGACTCCACCATAGCTTCTGCTCTCGTCCTCCCCGGGGCTGTCCCCACTTTTCTGTCTTGGGTTCCCTAGCCCTCGCTGGGCTCTGGCCCTTTCTCCATGCTGAACCTTTCCCACGTAGCCACGAGATGGCGAAGATGAGACGCCCACCAGGCTTGCGGGTTGGGGGATCTAGCTATGACCTAGCCCGTGAGAAAGGTGCGCTGAGGTTCTTCTTTGATTTCCTGTCATCCGTCTGGCACCCCCCCCCACCTCCACTTGTTCCAGGAAATAGTAAGCATATGGGTAAAGGGCATAAGCTGGAGACAGGGCTAGATTCTCAGTCTATGCTTTTGTGGCCTAGAATAAACAGTGGTGAAAGGGCATGCGGGTTGGTCCCTACGCTGCAGATTCGTTCCGACCTGTTGTGGCCGGTGACTGTCTTAGGGTAGGGGCTGGAGTGTGGGAAGGTCGAAGGCGGAACACCTAGTTCCGGGTGATGAGAACCCCGGGAGAAAGACAGAGAAGCAACGAGCTGAGATGCTATAGAAGTGATTCCGTTGTCGTTCAGAGTAAGGCCGGACCCAGAAGCTAGCTCCGCTCGGATCTCGGTCGCTTGCCTGGGTTGTTTGCTCAGTTGCCAGAGTAACAGGGCAACGAGCGTCCCCCGCCAGATTCCCAAACTCTCCCTCTCCTGTCCAATCCGCTGTAGCGGACGTCGCCTACGTCAGGGCTCTAGTGGCCAATGGGGAACTGGCATTATAGAGAGCCTGAAAGAGGGAGAGGGAGGAGGTGGAAGGAGGGGGGAGGCGGTGGCTACCCGGGATCTGCACGTGCACTCCCACACGCATCGCTCGCAGTACACCCTCTTCCACTGCACGCGCCCAGGCCGTCTCTTGCGCCTGCGCGGCGAGTCGTCTTCCCCCCCCCCCCCTTGCCTTAGGTCTTCAGTCTGTGTTTGCAAACTAGTCCAGTGCTGCGTTTCTCAACCCCTGCGGGCCCAGACGTCTGGGTGGGTTTGCGCTCTTTAGCCGGGTGTCGACTGTTTATGTTAGTCTCTTGTGGGAAGGCCGGCTACCTGTGTTCCCAACTGCCACCTCCAGCTGGCGCCCCAAAGCTCCCAGGTGGGCTGGGCGGAGCTGTGGTTTCCGGCCCCCTAGGCTCAGTCGCGGCTTTCCCGAGCTCTAGCTTAGGTTGTTTCCACAAAAGAAAGGTTGTGGGTACAAGCACCCATTCCCGAGGCCTCACCTGCCCAGGCCTAGCTGCAGTTAGTGACCCGGTAGGACACTGTGAGAAGCCCCTAGTGGTCCAGGTGACTTTCCTGGCCAGAGGGTCGTCATGTCCATTTTTTTCCCTTGTGAATTCCTGCTTTTTGATATGCAAACCAAACCTTTCCCTCCCCTTCCCCTAACATTTCCTTCTAGCTCTCTCTAGGGTTTCTTGCACCTCCCTTGGCTGCTTTGGGGCTGTCTGTCCCCGTCTCCACTCGTCCTTCTCTGCTTCTCCAGAGGGTTATATAACTCTTCCTCTCGGCGTGTCCTGATTTCAACTCCACAGACTCCGCCCTGGAACAGCACGGGAGGGGCGGGAGAGTTGGGGACCCAGACAGATTCCGGCTGGCGGCCAGCTGGGGCACAGGGGATCCCGCAGATAGCAGACGGAGTCCCTCGGGACCGAGTGCCCTGTCCCTAGACTCCCGCCCCTAACCAGGGATCAAGCCCAGAAGAAAGAAGGCACAGTATCTCTAAGGGGCGTGTCGGGACAGTCAGAAATGTGGGTTGGGAGGTCAAGGCTGGAGGCTGAGAGGAGGAGGCAGGCGAATGACCGGATTCCCTAGGATTAGTCCTGCTGGGGTTAATATAGATAAAGGCAGGACGCCTGGGTTCCCTCCTTCGCCTCCTTTTTGGGTTTCCAGAATTCCTATAACTATTTCCCAGGAAACTTAGCCAGCGGCTTCTTCGCCCTGGTAGGAGTCAAAGGTCTGTGTTAGAGGTGGCCTGGGATGATGTCACCAGTGCACGTGCCCCGGGACGGTTGCCAGGCAATGCGATCTCCTCCCCTTTCCATTCCCTCCCACCCTTGCCCGGAGTCCCGTTCCATTCCCGTGCCGTCTCTTTCCCCCTTCCTTTCCCTTGGCATTGGCATCCTGCAGGTGGGAAACCCTGGCCTGGAGTTTTGTGAGGGGGAGGGGCGCGGGTGTGGTGTGGCTTAAAAGACTTTGCTCCTTTGCTGGGTTGAGAGAATTCTGGGTCATTTTTTTTTTTTTCTAGATTGCCACAGAAAAACTTCCTCTTCAATCTCCTTTCCCTTCCCACCCCCACCCGCACCCTTGGAAGAGTCTCCCACCTGCTGCACGGCCCAGTGGCATGTTGCCCCTTTCCCATCTTGAGTTGAAGTGTGGGTAGTTGCAAGACAGCTGCCTCGAAGAGAAAAATCTGTACGTGGGGTACACACACCACCTCGGCCCTGACACCAGCTTCACCTCCTCTCACCAAACTGAGAAAACAGTGTCAGGCTGAAAAGTCAAGGTCTTTATCTTTGTAGGTAGGTGGATCAGCTTCTGGCATTGCCCACTTTTGAGAGAGGAATTCAGTGATCTCTCTGGCTGCCCTTCTTGGAGTTGGTGATGGATGATGGTATTAGTGTCTCCTGTCATATGCCTTAGAACTCGGACTGTCAGCTCAAACCTGGATTCTAATCCCAGCTCTGCCGACAAATGGGACTTGGACAGGTCAAAACCTCTCAGAGCTTCCAGTCCTTAATCTGGGACATTTAAATATCAATACCTACCTTTTAGCTCATGGGAGGGGTAGGTAGTGAAATAATTTACTTAGCACAGTGGTCGGCATAAAATTAATACTGAACGAGTGTCATGAAATGCGTATTATTAAGTGGTGTTAGTTATATAGTGGGTGGTGGACCTGTTCTAAAGTAACTATCACTAGGGCTTGGGTAGAGAAGAGTGGAGAGTTTTGCTGACTGGGGTGTGTGTGTGTGTGTGTGTGTGTGTGTGTGTGTGTGTGTGTGTATAGTGTATGGGGGTGTTAGGAATTAGCATCGACTACTTTATGTACCTTATTTGACGTGGGCTTTAGTCAGTCAGATTTGTATTGCTTTCTTTAGGTTTATTTTCCCCTCCTTAAAAATAGCTAAGACTATTCCTTTGGCTGTTAAAATAATTATGCTGTGGCTTATGATTTTCAGGCGATCCTCTGGTGCCCTCCCATGTTGCTCTCCGGAGCCTTTCATTTTGCAAAGGGACTCCACAGTTTCCCTAGCGGGGACATGGCTAGGCTAAAGGGGTGTGTAAAAGGTTGGGGTGGGTGGTGGAGAGAGACTATGGGGGGGAGGTTGGGGGAGCGGTAGTTAAAGGAAGAGACCGGAAGGGAGGAGGAGGGAGCCTGCTGGTGGGGAGGGAGGGGAGGAGGAGGAGGTGGAGGAGGAGGAGGAGGACGAGGAGGAGGAGGAGGGAGGGAGGGGGTTGGGGAGAGCCTGCTACAGTTCTTTGTTTGACTCCGGGACTCAGGGACGGGGAGGAGGAGGGAGGGAGGCAGAGGCTGCAAGCGCTGGGGCAGGCCCAGGAGGCAGAGGAGGGACCGTCTCCCCCGCCCCCCCAGCCCCCACTCCCCCCCTGCTGCTTCCCCCCTCCCTACCCGGACTCTGGGGGCACCGCCGGGGGACAGACACCCAGCAGGTAACCCCAGCCTGGCTCTCCCTCCCCGTGTCTTATTTTCTTCTACACCCTCCCGGACGACCCCTTTCCGCCGCCCCGATCCCCCGGCCTTGCCTTCCCCAGCCCTCCTTGTTCCATTTCCCCGAGTTGGGCTTGTCGCCTGCTGGCTCCGTCACCCTCGGTCTCGTGCAGTCTGACTCCCTTCCCCCACCCCACAGTGTGTGCTCCCCTGTTCTGCCCGAGGCATCTTTTGGGGTTCTGTCTTGCTGTTTCTCAGGCTGGCTTCTTCCAACCTGTCTCCAGGGGCTCTAAGGGAGGAGGGAGTCCTTACCCTTTAATGGCTCCCCCCAGCCTCCCTTGCCCCATTCTCCTTGTAGCAGTCTCTAGGGGTGAAGGAAAACCGGAATTTGGGGGGCCCCCTGGAGAGGCAGGGAGCTATGTGTTGCTGGAGACAGGGGCTGTGAGTGTGTGAGGAGGGGTAGGGATTTGTTAGAGACCAGGCTGCCTCTCTGATGTCCCTTTAAATGGCCCTTACATTTCTGGGGACTGGGGGGTGGGGTGGGGAGGTGGCAAGCTGCTGCCTGGGGGGCAGGGCCCTTGGTTTGTCCACACCGTCAGGGGTGGTAATGATTTAAAGGGACAGCCTTGGTGTGGCCACTGCCACCCTGTGCTGGCAGGAGGGGGAGCTGGCAGGCAGTGTCTGCAGAGGCTCGGCTGGTGAGCAGGGCATTTGAGGCTGTCTGGTACTGGGCCTGCAGGTCTGCGGTACAGTGTCTCTGGCTGGATAGGTGTGAGCAGGGGTTGACAGCCTGCCCTGAGCGTGCTGAGTATGGGCTTTCTCCAGAACCCCATCTTTGAGTCCTTGGACTCCATGACCAAGAATCTTTGAGTCTGAACCACAGACTCTGTGGGCCACCAGGTGGGGGCCACTGGTAAATCTGCAGGCCAGCAGGGTGACCTGAGCACTTGGGAGCTGGCCCTTCAGCTTCCCCTTTTGTTGTCTGGTTATCTGCACAAGAAGGCCCCAGCCCCTCCTCCTCATCCACATGCCCCCCCACCCCCACCCCAGCTGTTGGACAGATGAATTACAGCCTCCTGCTTGGGGCCAAGGCTGGTAAGGGATTAAAGTTCTGAGGTTGGCCCTCCCCCACTCTGGTGTCCAGACACCCCTTCACGCACCCTTCTGACCCCCTTGGCTGCCCCTCACTCCTCTTGGTCGGCCTGAGGCCTTCCTTCTCCCTACTAGGCTAGACCCTTTCTAGCATACCCCACCTCCACAAATGCTGTCAACTGCTGTGGTAAGCGCCTTAGTCCTGAATTTGCCTCCCTGTCCTGAAGGGTTACGGCCTCTACATTTTTCTCCAGCAGAAGGGCCTTACCACTCTGGTTTTCTCAGCCTGCAGCTGACCACTGTCCCTTAAGGGCCTTGCTTAGGTCAGAAATAACACCTCCCCGGGGCCAGTGTCATCAGCAGCTACAAAAGCTTACAGCACATTGCATCATGGAGGCTGGGGGCCAGAGGCCTAAGTCTCTGGGGCAGGGGGAAAGATGGGGGCTGGAAAGCCAGGAAATGGAGAGGCCAGGCAGAGAGCCCAAGTGTCTGGGTCCTGGGGCCAGGAGAATGGGAAACATGGGTCCCTGAGGAGTGAGTCTGAGGGAGGGTTGACTGAGGTCAGACCCCTGTATCAACACCTGATTCTTGGCCCTAGACTTGTGTTAATAGACCTACTTCTTTGTATCTAAGGATTGGGAGGGAAGGGAGCGGGCCCCTGTCACCTCCTTGGGCCACACAGAGGAAGGAGGTGATGGGGAAACAGGATATGGCCTTGGAGGTGACATGGAGGGAGCCTGCTGCAGAGGCTACTTCCCGGCTCAGGCCCAGAGTCACAGTTGTTGCAAAGAAGGCACCTCCCTGTTGGGCCCGTTCATCTTGTCTGGCCACCTGTGCCACTTGCCAGGACCTGCCTATACCAGCCTAAGGGAACGGGAAGGGTCGGAGTCCAAAGGGTGGGGTTGACTATCTGGTGTCTAGTCAAGGTTGGGGAGGAACTCCTGGGCTGGAGGAAGCAGAGTTGAAGCCTAGGGTCCACATGCCCTGGGGTCAGGACGAAGGCTGACTTGGCTGTAGGTATCAGCTGTCACTGAGCCTACTCCGGGTCCAGTCAGAAGAGGGATCATGGATTGGTGTCCACTGTAGACTTACTCAGGTGCCACAGCACGGCCCCCTTACCACCTGAACCAGGCTGCCTCTTGAGGGGAAGGTTGGGGGATGGCTTTTTTCCAGGTTGCCATGGAAACTGATTCTCTCATCTCATCTGACCTCTAGAGCCAGGTTTCTCTTCAGTGAGGGGGCAAGGAACACGGGGGAACTCCTCCATTGTGGGAGACCCCACCTCTAACTGAAATCTTCTCTTTTAGGTTCCCCCAGGCACCATGCCAGCCCCATAGCACTCTACCCACACCACGACTTCTGCTGCACCCCATTGCTGGGGTGATTGTTCCAATGAGACTGAACACTTCAAACTCCATCTGGTAAGCTTGGCTGCTGAGTGTCACCCCCTTCCCCCAAGTCCAACTCTTCACCGCATGTTTGAAAATCTTTGCTATGATCTGGTTCGTGCCCACTCATCAGAATGGTCCAGTCCAAGCCTGAGCCTCCCCCAACATGCCATGCTTGAATGGTTCAGCCCACCGGGTTGGCGCTCCCCTCTATCTCCTGTGAATGGTTTTCCCCTGCACTTCACCAGCCTCTCTACTACCTGGAAACCTCTTATCCACACCCCCAGAGCCACAACTCATTCCTAACTGAAGAAAGCTAGGGTTTGCAGACTGGAAGTAGATGTGAGGCAGCCCAGTGATATTTCTTGTTGTGAAGGGGAAGGCTCTTCTTCCACAGGAGGGAATCCTCATGCTTATGGAAAGTGCTTGGGACTTGATGTGGGAACATGTTGGGGATCACTGCCTTACAGCGAGCTCGTGCTTGTCATGGCCGTCTTCGAATCTCACCTCTCTGGTCTTCTTCGGCCCATCCTCACCACGATACACTGCGGATGTGCTTTGCACACCTAACTCTTAACTCTTGTGCGTTCTCAGGCCTTCTCCGGCCAGCTCTCTTCCCGAGGCCCTTCTTCACCTCCCTTTCCTCCCGAGTAGAAGGGAATTCTCCCTAAGCTGGGAACATGAGTCCTCTGGTTCTTCGTTGCTTTCCCCATCACTCATTGAGTTTCTTGAGTAGGATTACTTTTTCCTCTCTGTCCTGTTTAGTATGATGGTTTGCACATTGTGGATTTGTGTTGAATGAATGTTTTCACTGAATGTACTGCTTCACTGCCAAGAAACCTACGGCAGAGATCTGCTGTGGAGCCTCCTACCCACACCTTCTCTAGAGCCTGTGAGACATTTGGGATAGTAACACAGTGGAAGGCTGATCTGGGCAGTAGCCTGCAAGGATAAAATTGAGGGAGAACAGGTCAGGGGCCGTCTAGAAAACACAGCTCTGGAAAGGAGCCCAGCCTGTCCACTCACTTGCAGAAGGAACTTGCTTGAGTTAGTTAACCTGCCTTTCCAAGTCTGTTTCCTCATTTACAATGTGGGGCAATCACATAGCTCCTATGCCAGGTTTTGGGGGAAGAGTTAAAAGATGCACGTAAAGGTTAAGGCAGTGCCTACCATTTAATAAATGCTAGCAGTTCCCATTAGGGTTGCTGCGGGGCAGCTGTGGGGACTAAATGAGGATGCTGAGGAATGGGACTGAACTTGACTGAAGGTAGACAGAGCCCCAAATAATTGACTCAACGGAAGGACCACGGACCCAGTAGGAAGTCAGGATTCAGGGGAGTGGAGAGAGCCCCCCAAGCCTGCCTCCGATATTTCCCTGGCTCTCTTCGAGAACGTGGAGACAAACACAGAGGGGCATGTGCACAGACACACGTGATCACCACAGTGATGCAGAGGCAGACCCAGACAAAAGACTGAGACAGGAGCCAACCAGACACACAGACAGAGACAGCCTCGAGGAGTCATGTAGACAGGGATAATGACAGGAACGCGCCAGACACAGGCACTGAGGGAGACAAGATAAGAAGATATGCAGGTGCACACAGACACCGAGCCCCACACACAGCCGACCCTGTTCCACTGACTGGCGAACACAGCGCCCAGTCAGAGGCAGACACAACGCCCGCAGTGACACATAGCGGGCCAGCGCGCCGCCCGCCGGGGCCGCCACTGTCACTTCTCGATGGGGGCGGGGAGGGGCCGGCGGCGGGGGAAGGCTGGGGAAGGGAATCCCGGGCGGGCGGCCTGCCCGGGTGGCTGAGTCACCGCGGAGCCCCAGCCCGCGGCCCTCCCTCTCCCTCCGGCTCTCCCAGGTGAGAAGCGAGCCGGTAACTTCCTAGCTTCCGCCATGCCGAAAGAAGACAGCAAAGGAATGGGGCCCGCGGGGGTCGGTCCCGGATCGGCCCCACCTTCGAGCCGGTGCGTGCCGGCCCGGTGCATGCTCGGGAGAAGCCGGTCTGCGGGGGGTCTGGGGTCCTGGGCCGGCCGTCCAGGGTCTGCTTGCGGATCGCAGGCCTCGTGCCCAGCGTCCCTCTTAGATCCCGCGTTCCGGGGGCCGCGCGGCGGAGCGGGGCGCTTCTGCCCCCCAAGCCCGGAGAGAGTTAAGTGGGTGTGATTGATGGAGTGGTTCTCTCCTGGGACTTACGGGGGAGGGGGGTCGGTTAAAGTCCTAAGAGTCCAGATCCCGGATGCAGGAGGCGGAGCTTGGCTTTGCCGGGAGTGCCCGGATGGAGAGGGCGTGGCTTAGACCCAAGTGGAATTAACCCTTTCTGGGCGGCCGGCTTTTTAGGGCTGTAGGTCGGGTTGGGGGGGGGGCCGGCGGCGGGAGGCTGGATTGTCAGCCTCAGAAGTGTGTCCGTCTCCCAGCCCGGTCGTGGACGTGTGCGTCTGCCTTCCGTCTGTCTTCGAGGAGTCTGGGGGTGTCTGTCTTTGTGCTTGTCCCCGGTTGCCCCCTCCCCTTGGTTAGTATGAGCCCTGGGAGCCGGGGAGGGCCACTCCTGCCTCAAAGCGAGAGTGTAGGTGAGAGTGGACGGCGAGCCAGCCGGCGGCGGCGGCGGCGGCGGCGACCGAGGAACAGGTGTGAGTGCGGCGGCTGGGCTGCCCGGCGCGGGGTGGGGCCGTCTGGAGGGAGACGGAGGGGAAATTCCGCGGGACCCGTGGTGAGCCGTGTGTGGGCTGAGGAGTTGTGTCTGCCTCTGACTGTGTGTCTGTGCGAGCCGAGGGAGGCGGGGGCTGAGTCAGTGGGAACCGGGGATGGTTTTCTGAGTGACTCACCCCCCCCACACACACACACCCCGAGCCTGATTCAGACCCTGAGAAAGGCTTTGTTCGTGGGGCGGATGGGAAGTCAGGCGCCTGCGTCCCTGGTCGCGGGGGGGGGGGGGGACACAGGTCGGTGGTGGTGGGCGAGATCACGCTTTAGGGTACAGGAAGTTTTGTTCTGGGGCGCTCCGTCGCCGTCCGTGGTGTCGTCGTGGGAGGTGGTGGATAAAGGCTGAAGATCCAGAGGGCTGGAGGGGGACGGAACTCGCTAGTTTGGGGAAAGCTGAGTCAGTTCCCCGTGGGAAAGGGGAAGCGGCCGAGGGGAAGTGTCATCATCGCAGAAGGGGAAGCTGCATTTCCTGGTAACTGGCAGCGTTCTGGGCACCACTTCCTTAGCAGGGTGCCTGCTTCTCTGACACCTGGTACCCCCGCGCCGCCGTTGGTCCACCTCTGGTCCCCTGGCCCCCCTCACAGGGCTTGTCTGGGGCAGCCGCCGTGGGCTGCACTTGACCACATGAGCGTTGTCCGTGTCCCGGGGCTTGGTAACTGACGGACTGCAGCAGCCTCGGGAGAGTTCCGACCCTCGGAGCTCCGCGCGACCCGAGGAGTCCGCGGAGCGCGAGCCGGGTCCCACCGGGGCTGGGGGACCGGGCAGCCTGCGGGCGTCTGCCGGGTCGGAACACTTTTCACGCACAGATGACCTTGCGGGAGGGAAGACTGTTTTCGCCCGAACCCCTTCGGCCTTTGTGGGCTGGCTGGAAATTTCCCCGCAGTGTAGACTTCTCGGCCAAGGCGAACTTTCCAGCCGCCCCCAACCCCTCGCCGCGCGCTCTCCCCCGGCTTCCTGCCCGGCGCTTTCTCCAGCTGGAGCGCTGGCCCCGCCCCCGCGGCTTTGTACTCGACACTCGCCTCTCGCCGCTCTTTGTACTCTAGACTCTCAATGGACCGATCCCGGGAGCGGAGCCGGCTCCCTACCTGCTGGGACCTGGGGTATGCGCAGGGAAGCGGCTGCTGGGCTCGGAGAGTCGAGAAGGGAGAGCTGGGGCTAGAGGGAGCGTGCCTAGGAGCGAGGAGGACTGTGTCCGTTGTGGGTCCCGTCAGCTTCGACGGGAAGGAGTGAGTGGGGGGGGGGGGGGGTTGGCGAGAAGGAGGAAGTGAAACGGGTTCTGGGTTCTTTAAGGGAGTAGGCGGTGAGAGTGGGACAGGGGTGATGTCACTGCCTGCTGGGCCCCGCCCTCCTCTCTCTCCCGAAGGACCCCCCCCCCTTTACACACATCGCTTCCGCTGCGCAAGTGGCCACGTCACGGGCAACCCCCGAAATCCCCCCTCCCGGGGGGGGGTGGGGGCCACGTGGGCCGTGGGGAACCGCGTGGCCCCGGCAGGGAAAGGGCATAGAGGATACAGGAGCCACGCGAGAGGGACCACTCCACGGTGCTCAGCTTCCCCGAAGTTGGAGGGCTGAGTTGGGGGCCTGGCCGAGGGGGCCGACCGGTGTTGACGACTCAGAGCCAGGGAAAGTGGAGGAGCTGGAGGAGGAACTTGGTATGAGGCTGGGGACTTGACCGTGATTTCGGACTGGGTCCGGCGCTGGAGGCGGAGCGTTCTGATGGAGGCGCTGGCCGGCCTGGGTGCCGGGCTGGCTGTGATGGCTAGACCTAAGCAGTTCCCCCGGAGTGATCGAGCGGAGAGTCTGTCGGGGGGCGATGGGGAGTGAGGAGGGGGAGCGCTGCCTTTGTCTGCGACGTGCGTGGGTCTGCTGTCCGTCCTTGGGGTGGTGAGACAGAGGACGACTCGAACAGTCTGGCGGGGACCATTGCCAGTTGGGTGGATGTGTGAGGCTTGCCCCCAGGTCCAATAGCGAGTGATTTCCCCATCCTCACTCGCGTGGGTCTTAGCCAGCTGGAGGTTACTGCCCTGCCGGCCACCGGTTTCTGATCCCAGATGTGGACCCTAGGTGGGAGCCTTGGGGTCACCCCGGGGTCACCCTAGGGCGAGCCTGTCTGACCGGCCCTGCCGCTCCTCCTCCGGCGGCCGCTGAGTGCTCGGTTAACCTCGCTCCTATTGGTTCCTGCCAGGCTGTTACTGAGGCGGAGACAAGGGTGATGATTGGCTTTCTGGGGAGAGAGCAGTCTTGTGATTGGCTAAATCTCTGAAGCTTTTGAAGCTGTGAGAGGACGCTCCCACGGAGGCTGGGTAAGCAGCCGCGCGGTAGGTCGCCCTAGTATCAGGATTGGAAGCCTGTCAGACTGTACAGCGGCTGCGTTGTACCTATTGTTGACTCTCCCCCCGCTGCTTGTCCCATATTCCTGTCACTCCACTTGCGGGCTTCTCGGGGCTCCTTATGCCGGTGTCTGCCCCGGCTTTTGGCCCCTCAGTCTCCCACTGGGCCCTGACTGTGCTGGCAAGTTCAGTGTTACTTTTCTTCCCGCTGTAGAATTGGTCGTGGAAGGCCAGTGACTGCCATCTGGAAATAGTGAGCACTCTTGTTGAGAGCAGTCGGAGCTGGACCATCGTGCCAGAGAGCTGGGGCAGGGGGGCGTGCCCCATCTCCAGGGCTCCTGGGGCCACTGCTGACCTGGTAAGGGAAAGGCTGAGGCTGGTTTAGCTGAATGTACAGATGAATGTTTTGTCCCCTCTTAGAGCATGCTCTCTTGTCCCTGACTTAGGCTGGATGCATCGGGCAGTGGACCCTCCAGGGGCCCGCTCTGCACGGGAAGCCTTTGCCCTTGGGGGCTTGAGCTGTGCTGGGGCCTGGAGCCCCTGCCCACCCCATCCTCCTCCTCGAAGCTCATGGCTGCCTGGAGGCAGGTGAGAATTGGGCCATGAGTCCTATCTCCAGGCATTCCTCTTCGGGTCTTCTCTGCCCATTTCTGTCATTCTCCCTGAGTTTCTATTATTTTGTGGCCCAGACACCAGCCTCACCTGCTCTTCTTCTCTCGAACTCCTCCTTTCTAGGGAGCAAGATTACTTCTGGCAATCCGTAACAGACCTTTTCTCTTTACAGATGCTCTGCCAGCATTGGGCAGCCCCCTCTCCCTGCTCCTCTACCACCTTCCCATGGCAGTAGCTCCGGGCACCCAAACAAACCCTATTATGCTCCTGGGTAAGTGGGGGATTCAAAAGTTCTAGGACTGGAGGTAAAACTGAGGCCTTGAAATGTTCCCTTAAGCCTGATCACTCCCAACTCCTGCTCCGTAGGACACCCGCCCCAAGACCCCTCCACGGGAAGCTGGAATCTCTGCATGGCTGTGTCCAGGCATTGCTGCGGGAGCCAGCCCAGCCAGGGTTATGGGAACAGCTTGGACAGTTGTATGAGTCAGAGCATGACAGCGAGGAGGCCATATGCTGCTACCACAGGGCCCTTCGATATGGAGGGAGCTTCACTGAGCTGGGGCCCCGAATTGGCCGACTGCAGCAGGTGAGACAAGGCAGCACACAGGTGGCCGAGATTGGCCATTTAGCTCAATGTCCTGGTTCATCTTAAATCTGCCCTTTCCCTCTGCCCTTTACCCCCGCCCAGGCCCAGCTCTGGAACTTTCATGCTGGCTCCTGTCAGCACAGAGCCAAGGTCCTGCCCCCCCTGGAGCAAGTATGGAATTTGCTGCACCTTGAGGTGAGACTGAAGCCCAGTGAATCAGGAAAGGGAGTTGTGGTCGGCTGGGCCTGGGCCATCATCTCTCTGCTTGTTTTTAGCACAAACGGAACTATGGGGCTAAGCGAGGGGGTCCTCCAGTGAAGCGATCTGCGGAACCCCCGGTGGTACAGCCTATGCCTCCCGCAGCACTCTCGGGCCCCTCAGGAGAGGAGGGCCTGAGCCCCGGAGGCAAGCGCAGGAGAGGCTGCAGCTCTGAACAGGTATGACTGTGGGGGGGTCAGCAGGCAGAGAGGAGGCGGGGATGGACAGGTGTGACTGGGGGTGGGTCAGCAGGCAGAGAGGAGGTGGGGATGGACAGGTATGACTGGGGGTGGGTCAGCAGACAGAGGAGGCGGGGATGGACAGGTGTGACTGGGGGTGGGTCAGCAGGCAGAGGAGGCGGGGATGGACAGGTATGACTGGGGGGGTCAGCAGGCAGAGAGGAGGCGGGGATGGACAGGTATGACTGGGGGGGTCAGCAGGCAGAGGAGGCGGGGATGGACAGGTATGACTCGGGGTGGGTCAGCAGGCAGAGGAGGCGGGGATGGACAGGTATGACTGGGGGTGGGTCAGCAGGCAGAGGAGGCGGGGATGGACAGGTATGACTGGGGGGGTCAGCAGGCAGAAGAGGCGGGGATGGACAGGTATGACTGGGGGTGGGTCAGCAGGCAGAGGAGGCAGGGATGGACAGGTATGACTGGGGGTGGGTCAGCAGGCAGAGGGTTTTCAGGCTCTCTTCTCTTCTAGGCTGGCCTTCCCCCAGGTCTGCCGCTCCCTCCACCACCATTACCACCACCCCCACCCCCACCACCTCCACCCCCACCCCCACCACCACTGCCCAGCCTGGCTATTAGTCCTCCATTTCAGCTGACTAAGCCAGGGCTGTGGAATACCCTGCATGGAGATGCTTGGGGGCCCGAGCGCAAGGGTTCAGCACCCCCAGAGCGCCAGGTAAGCCCCTCTCTAATACTTTAGATCTTTCACCTCCTGAAAGTTGTCTGTTCCATTCCTCACTTTGTGCCCTCGTTTATTTCCCACAGGAGCAGCGGCACTCGCTGCCTCACTCCTATCCATACCCAGCTCCTGCCTACACTGCTCACCCGCCCAGCCACCGGCTGGTCCCAGCCACACCCCTTGGTCCAGGTCCCCGACCCCCAGGAGCAGAGAGCCATGGCTGCCTGCCTGCCACCCGTCCCCCCGGAAGTGACCTTAGAGAGAGCAGAGTTCAGAGGTCGCGGATGGACTCCAGCGTTTCACCAGCAGCATCTACCGCCTGCGTGCCTTACGCCCCTTCCCGGCCCCCTGGCCTCCCCGGCACCAGCAGCAGCAGCAGCAGCAGCAGTAGCAGTAACAACACTGGTCTTCGGGGTGTGGAGCCGAGCCCAGGCATTGTACGCGACGACCTTGGGCTGAAGGTGGGTGGGGGTGTCCGTGGGGGCTAGAATAGCACTCTCACCTCCTCACTCTGTCCTTGCAGCCTGGCGCTGACCATTACCAAACTCCTGCGCTGGAGATCTCCCCTCACCAGGCCCGCCTGGGGCCCTCGGCACACAGCAGTCGGAAACCATTTTTGACAGCCCCTGCTGCCCCTCCCCACTTATCCCTACCACCTGGGACCCCACCATCCCCTCCACCCCCGTGTCCTCGCCTCTTACGCCCTCCACCACCCCCTGCTTGGATGAAGGGCTCAGCCTGCCGCTCAAGCTCAGCCCGAGAGGATGGAGAGATCTTAGGAGAGCTCTTCTTTGGTGCTGAGGGACCTCCCCGTCCTCCCCCGCCCCTTCCCCACCGTGATGGCTTCTTGGGGCCTCCAACCCCCCGCTTTTCTGTGGGCACTCAGGATTCGCATACCCCTCCCTCTCCCCCAACCACCACCACCAGCAGCATCAGCAGCAGCAGCAACAACAGCAGCAGCAGCAGCCACAGCAGTAGTCCTCCTGGGCCTGTGCCCTTCCCTCCACCCCCCTATCTGGCCAGAAGTATAGACCCCCTTCCCAGGCCATCTAGCCCAACACTGAGCTCCCAGGACCCACCTCTTCCACCGCTGACTCTTGCCTTGCCTCCAGCCCCTCCCTCCTCCTGCCACCAAAATACCTCAGGAAGCTTCAGGCGCTCGGAGAGCCCCCGGCCCAGGGTCTCCTTCCCAAAGACCCCCGAGGTGGGGCAGGGGCCACCCCCAGGCTCTCTGAGTAAAGGCCCCCAGCCTGTGCCACCTGGGGCTGGAGAGCTGCCTGCCCGAGGCCCGAGGCTCTTTGATTTTCCACCAACTCCGCTGGAGGACCAGTTTGAAGAGCCAGCTGAATTCAAGATCCTACCTGACGGGCTAGCTAACATCATGAAGATGCTGGATGAATCCATTCGAAAGGAGGAGGAGCAGCAGCAGCAGGAGGCAGGCGTGGTCCCCCCACCCCCACTCAAAGAACCCTTCGCTTCTCTCCAGCCTCCATTTCCCAGTGACACAGCCCCAACCACCACTGCTGCTGCCACCGCTGCCTCCACGACCACCACCACCACCACCACCACCACCACCACCATCCAAGAAGAGGAGAAGAAGCCACCACCAGCCCTGCCGCCGCCACCGCCTCTAGCCAAGTTTCCTCCACCTCCCCAGTCACAGCCCCCACCACCTCCACCAGCCAGCCCAGCCAGCCTGCTCAAATCATTGGCCTCTGTTCTTGAGGGACAAAAGTACTGTTACCGGGGGACTGGAGCAGCTGTTTCAACCAGGCCCGGGTCCTTGCCCACCACTCAGTATTCCTCTAGTCCTGCATCAGGTGCTACCGCCCCCCCACCCACTTCATTGGCCCCCAGCGCCCAGGGCTCCCCCAAGCCCTCTGTTTCCTTGTCATCTCAGTTCTCTACCTCAGGCGGGCCTTGGGCCCGGGAGCGCAGGGCAGGTGAAGAGCCAGCACCAGGCCCCGTGACCCCTGCCCAGCTGCCCCCACCTCTGCCGCTGCCCCCTGCTCGTTCTGAGTCTGAGGTGCTAGAAGAGATCAGTCGGGCTTGTGAGACCCTTGTAGAGCGGGTGGGCCGGAGTGCCACCCACCCTGCAGACCCAGTGGACATAGCCGATCCAGTGGACAATGGGACAGAGCCACTGCTGCCTCCTGCACAGGCCAAGGAGGAGAGTGGTGGGGTGGCAGTGGCAGCGGCAGCTCCAGGTAGTGGCAAGCGTCGGCAGAAGGAGCATCGGAGGCACAGACGGGCCTGTAGGGACAGTGTGGGTCGTCGGCCCCGGGAGGGGAGGGCGAAGGCCAAGGCCAAGGCTCCCAAAGAAAAGAGTCGAAGGGTGCTGGGGAACCTGGACTTGCAGAGTGAAGAAATCCAGGGCCGGGAAAAGGCCCGGCCTGATCTAGGTGGGGCTTCCAAAGTCAAGACACCCACAGCTCCAACGCCCCCACCTGCTCCTGCACCCTCTGCTCAGCCAACACCCCCATCAGCTCCCGTCCCTGGGAAGAAGACCCGAGAGGAAGCTCCAGGGCCCCCGGGTGTGAGCCGTGCAGATATGCTGAAGCTCCGGTCACTTAGTGAGGGCCCTCCCAAGGAGCTGAAGATCAGGCTCATCAAGGTAGAGAGCGGCGACAAGGAGACCTTCATTGCATCTGAGGTGGAAGAGCGGCGGCTTCGCATGGCGGACCTCACCATCAGCCACTGTGCTGCAGACGTCATGCGTGCCAGCAAGTGAGTCGGGGCCGTAATACCCGAGGCTGCCGCCCTGTCCTGGGGATAGGCTCCTACTCATTTACCTCACGTTTCTGACCCTATTCTGTGGTCTCCCCGCAGGAATGCCAAGGTGAAAGGGAAATTTCGAGAGTCCTACCTTTCCCCTGCCCAGTCTGTGAAGCCGAAGATCAACACTGAGGAGAAGCTGCCCCGGGAAAAACTCAACCCCCCTACACCCAGCATCTATGTATGTGTGCCATCTGCCCCCAGCACCGCCCTTCCCAGAGGGTTGGGTTGGGGTACTTGGAGCCTGGGCAGAGGCTCTGATCTGACCCCGTGTCTCCTGGTTGTCGTAGTTGGAGAGCAAACGGGACGCCTTCTCACCAGTGCTGCTACAGTTCTGTACAGACCCCCGGAACCCCATCACCGTGATCAGGGGCCTGGCCGGCTCACTTCGGCTCAGTGAGTGTGGGGGGGCTGTAAGGACGGTGGTATGTGGAACCCTTGGAGAACCACCCCCATGCTTTCAGACTTGCCCCAGTGATTCTAAGGATCTCCTGTACTCAGTCAGGCACAGGCAATGAGAAGTGCCCTGAGTGGTGTGCCAGCCAGCCTTGAGATGTCCTCATCTGGCATTTCTGTCCCCAGAAGTGGACACATGGGAAGATGGATCTCAGAAGTGGTTAGAGTCGCTTCTGATTTTCTCAGTGTTTCTATGAAAAGAATGAGCCAGGCGGTGAAGGCCTTTAGTCTCAGCACTTGGGAGACAGAGGCAGGCGGACCTCTGTGAGGCCAACCTAGTCTACATAGTGAGTTCCAGGACAGCCAGGGCTACACAGAGAGACCCTGTCTCCAAAAACCAAACAAATGTAAAGAATGGATCATAGACTACTTCTGACCCATGGTTTGGTTTTTCTCTTTTTTGATCTTTTATTGTGCAAAATTGTAAACAGTATAAAACTAGAGGAAACTATATAGAAATGTAAAGGTCGGTCTTGTTCCCTTTCTCTCCTCCCACTGAGTAATTCGAGGGACATTTCAAGCTTGACTACATCTTTCACTTGTTCCAGTGGCCACTTGCCATTCATTGATGGCCTACTGTGTGGCCATATGCATGTCTGAGAATTCTAGTTGAGAGACTGAGGCCTGAAGTTGAAGAAAGGGGCTGGGGAGGGCCCAAAGAAGGCAGCCTTGCCAGCTTCCCGGGGCTGGGATTCTTGTCAGTTCCTGGGTGCTGAGTTCTGTCCCATCCGTTCGCCTTCACCTGAGGCCCGGCCAGTCGGTTGGAAGGGCAAGGGTGAGTGGGGCCTCCTGCCCTGGGTGACATCCTGTTGGCACTCCCTCACAGACTTAGGCCTCTTCTCCACCAAGACACTGGTGGAGGCCAGCGGCGAGCATACCGTGGAGGTGCGCACCCAGGTGCAGCAGCCCTCAGATGAGAACTGGGACCTGACAGGCACAAGGCAGATCTGGCCCTGCGAGAGCTCCCGTTCACACACCACCATCGCCAAGTACGCACAGTACCAGGCTTCGTCCTTTCAGGAGTCCCTGCAGGTGAGGCGCATGCACGAGGCAGCAGGGGGGTGCCCGGGTGGGACTGGGTGGCCTTCAGGGCGGCGCTGACCCAGACCCGCCTCCCCACCTGACCGAGCAGGAGGAGAAGGAGAGTGAGGACGAGGAGTCCGAGGAACCCGACAGCACTACAGGAACCCCTCCCAGGTAAAGTGTAATTCTGCCCCCCTGGCTGTGCGCTCTCGCTCCCTTGGTTCGCCAACATCCCGTCTGCTTCTTCCAGCAGCAGCGCGCCCGACCCCAAGAACCACCACATAATCAAGTTTGGCACTAACATCGACCTGTCTGATGCCAAGAGGTCAGTGGGGCTAGACCGCTGAGGCTGGCCGACACCCTGCCAGGTGCTTGTCTGGCTACCCTCTTACCTCGTTGGCATCCCTGTGTTCACAGGTGGAAGCCCCAGCTCCAGGAGCTGCTCAAGCTGCCCGCCTTCATGCGGGTAACGTCCACAGGCAACATGCTCAGCCACGTGGGCCACACCATCCTGGGCATGAACACTGTGCAGCTGTACATGAAAGTCCCTGGCAGCCGAACGCCAGGTGTGCTCCTCACCCTGCGCATCCTCACCCTGCGCGCATGGTGCGGCAAGTGGGAAGTGTGCACTTCGTGCTTAGCCCGCTGGCCGGCCGGCCAATGAGGGCACAGGGCGGGGCTGTCGCGGGTGCTGCCTTGCCTCGGACCATCCTTGACGTTCTATCTCCCTCTGCAGGCCACCAAGAGAATAACAATTTCTGCTCTGTCAATATCAACATTGGCCCCGGGGACTGTGAGTGGTTTGCGGTGCACGAGCACTATTGGGAGACCATCAGCGCCTTCTGCGATCGGTGCGCACCACCCCCTTGCTAGTCCCCCCACCACATCGGGCCCTTGGGTCTCTCACCTGACCCTGTGGCTGCCCACTCCACAGGCACGGTGTGGACTACTTGACTGGTTCCTGGTGGCCAATCTTGGATGACCTCTATGCGTCCAATATCCCTGTTTACCGCTTCGTGCAGCGCCCTGGGGACCTTGTGTGGATCAATGCAGGGACTGTGCATTGGGTGCAGGCTACTGGCTGGTGCAACAACATTGCCTGGAACGTGGGGCCCCTCACCGGTGAGAGGCAGGGGTCGGGTCATCATGGTACACTGAAGGGTGTGAGGAGTGAGGCCTGTTCGGGAGAGGTGGGTCTGAGGGAAGAGCGGGCTGGGACTGACCTGAGAGTCTGAGGGACTTCCTCCGGCCTGCAGCCTATCAGTACCAGCTGGCCCTGGAGCGGTATGAGTGGAATGAGGTGAAGAACGTCAAGTCCATTGTGCCCATGATTCACGTGTCCTGGAACGTGGCTCGGACGGTCAAAATCAACGACCCCGACTTGTTCAAGATGATCAAGTGAGGCCCTGTGTGCTTAGCAGCCCCCTCCACCCGACACGGCCCCACCCTTGTTCTCCTGACGCCCGCCGTATCTTACCCATGTCTTCATCCACGTCTGCAGCATGGTCACAGAAGTCCCTGTGCCGAGGAGGCTGACAAAACCCCCGTTCTCATCTCACAGCCTTTGTTTCCTGTGACACACACACACACACACACACACACACACACACACACACACCCTCACCCTTGAAATGTCAACCGTGACGTACTCAAGACAGGAAATACAACTCAGAAATGAAAAGGGAGCCTAGGGACGTTCCTGGGGCTAAGGTCTTGGGGGCTCAGCCCCTGCCCCCTCCCCCCCCAGCCCTGGCACATCTTCTCCTTCTGCAGTCTTGTCTCAATACCACCTTCGGCCCTTGCCAGGTTCTGCCTCCTGCAGTCGATGAAGCACTGCCAGGTGCAGCGGGAGAGCCTGGTGCGGGCAGGGAAGAAGATCGCTTACCAAGGCCGCGTCAAGGATGAGCCTGCCTACTACTGCAACGAATGCGATGTGAGTGAAGTGCGTGGGCGCCGCCCCGTGCCCAGGGTGCCCGCAGGAGGCGGCCCTCCGGGTGACAGCCACCCCCTTCCTCCCGGCCAGGTGGAGGTGTTCAACATCCTGTTCGTGACCAGTGAGAACGGCAGCCGAAACACGTATCTGGTGCACTGCGAGGGCTGTGCGCGCCGTCGGAGCGCGGGCCTGCAGGGCGTGGTGGTGCTAGAGCAGTACCGGACGGAGGAGCTGGCGCAGGCCTACGATGCCTTCACGCTGGTGAGCGCGGCGGGGCTCCCCCCGGCGGCGGGGGTGCGGGGCGGCCGGACCCCGCGCCCCCGCCGCTGAAGCCCCGCTCTGTCCCTCCAGGCTCCCGCCAGCACGTCGCGATGAGGCCGGACGCCCCGCTCGCCCGCCCACGCAGGGCGCGGCGGGGCCACCAGCACACGCCTGGGCTGGACCTAGGTCCCGCCTCTGGCCGGGAAGGGGGTCGGGCCCAGCCCTTCCACCCTGATTGGCAGCTCCCCTCACTTAATTTATTAAGAAAAAACAATTTTTTTAACAAATACGAGGAAAAAAAAGGAAAAAAAATGGGAGACGGGGAGGGGGCCGGCAGCCCCTCGCCCAGCAGCGCCTCCCCTCACCGACTTTGGCCTTTCTAGCAACAGACACAAGGACCAGGCTCCGGCGGCGGCGGGGGTCACATACGGGTTCCCTCAAGCCTGCCCGCCGCCCGCCGCCCGCCGCCCGCCGGCGCAGACGCTCGCGGCTCGTTGTGTACATAGACGTTCGGCAGCCGAGGTTTTTAATGAGATTCTTTCTATGGGCTTTACCCCTCCCCCAGGACCTCCTTTTTTTACTTCCAATGCTAGCTGTGATCCCTGTATATGTCTCTGTTTATTCACTTGGTTATGATTTGTATTTTTGTTCCTTTTTTTGTTTTTGGTTTTTAATTTATAACAGTCCCACTCACCTCTATTTATTCATTTTTTTCTTTTTTCTTTTTTTCTTTTTATTTTTGGGAAAACCCGACCTCCTGCACCCCCAAGCCATCCCTCCTGCCTCTTTGGAGGCCCGCTCCTGGGCTCTCCTTACGCCCCAGTATATGTCCGGGCTTGGCCCGTCCGTCTCCGCCCGCCCGCGGCTCCAGCCGGGCTCTCATGGTGCTCAAACCCGCTCCCCTCCCCTACGTCCTGCACTTTCTTGGACCAGTATCCCCACTCCCGACCCGACCCCAACCCCACCTGAGGGTGAGCGACTCCTGTACTGTAGGGGAAGAAGTGGGAACTTAAATGGTATTTTGTAAAAAAAAAATAAAATAAATAAATAAAATAAAAAAATAAAAGTTTTAAAGAAAGAACTATGAGGAAAAGGAACCCTGTCCTCCCCAGCCTCGGCCAATTTAAAAAACATTGGACACCTCCACCACCACCATCCCCCCCCCTTTTTTTTTTAAAGGCGTGAAACAGCCCAGGGCAGGGCCTCACTGGGGCAGGGACACCCTGGGGTGAGTTTCTCTGGGGCTTTATTTTCATTTTCTTAGTTCGTTTTCTCCCGCTGGGGCTGCGGAGGGGTGGGGGGTTTACAGTCCCGCCCCCTCGCACTGCACTGTCTCTCTGCCCCAGGGGCAGAGGGGTCTTCCCAACCCTACCCTATTTTCGGTGATTTTTGTGTGAGAATATTAATATTAAAAATAAAAGCAGGAAAAAAAAAGGAGCCTTGTGTTTTGATGATGGCCGTAGAGTATCAGTTGAAGGGCTGGGGATTGATGGATGGATGGGAGGGCAGCGTAGACCCTGGCGGTGGCGAGCCCCTCCCCGGGGGCGCCTGTGGAATGTCCAGAGCCACGGTCTGCTCCTTGGGATGAGGATGCCTAATCCTAGAGCTGCATTCCAGGATAAGGTGGTTGGGGGTGGGGTGGGGAGAGGCTGCCCCGGGGGAGGGGCAGGAAAGAGGGCTATAAGGGCCGCAGCCTTGCGGGGCGGGAACCAGCCAGGCCATGGCGGAGGTCCCCGGAGCCCAACGCTCGGTTCTCGCTGGCAGCCCAGAGCCCCGGGATCCCCTGGATTGCTGGGCCTGCGCGGTGCTAGTGACGGCTCAGAATCTGCTGGTGGCTGTCTTCAATCTTCTCCTGCTGGCACTGGTCCTGGGGACCATCTTGCTACCCGCTGTCACCATGTTAGGCTTCGGCTTTCTCTGCCACTCTCAGGTAAGCATGGGGCCCGAGGGGTGGAGATGTTGGGGTGTCTCTGAGCCACAACCTCCCGGCCTGGGCTGTTTCCCTCCGGGGCGGAGTGTGGTCCAGTGAGCTAGAGTCTGATGGCTCTTATCTGCACAGTTCCTGCGCTCCCAGGCACCCCCTTGCACCGCCCATCTGCGGGACCCAGGCTTCACCGCCCTGTTGGTCACTGGATTCCTGCTGCTGGTGCCGCTGCTTGTGCTTGCCTTGGCCACCTACCGCCGTCTCTGCCTGCGCCTACGCCTGGCCGACTGCCTAGTACCCTACAGCCGAGCCCTCTACAGGCGCCGGCGCATCCCACAGCCGAAACAAATCCCGGCCTCACCGGGGTCCCGGGCTGTTCCCACACCGGGAAAGGTCTGGGTTTGAGGTGCGTGGAGTCAAGAATTCTGTCCATTGTCCTCCTGGTCACGAAAGGACTTGAAGCAAGCCCAGGGCTATTCTGCCCTGTCCTGCTCCTTACCACGGCCTGAGTCAGGTCCTAGCATCCCTTTGACGGCACAGCATCACCTGTGGACCCAATGCTGGCGAAAATTCCCATGCCCCAGAAAATCTCATTGGAATCCTGAACCTTTGGGCTGGACCCTGCACATTTTCTTTCCCTCTCCTAGCGTAAATAGGAGATCTGGACCTTGTGACTTCCTTTGCTGGTGCAGCTCCTCTAATATTTACGAGACTGAGGGACAGGGCTAGAGAAGAAACCATCACAAATAATAAAGAATTTATGAAATGGATGTGCTCTGTGAATACAGGGGTGGCATATACACAGTCGTCCCTGCCCAGGGCTCAGGAGTGGGAAACACATCCCTGAGACTCCAAACCGGCAGACAGAGCATCCTTCAGCATCCTGCCGTTGCCTTATCGCATCAGCCCGTTCTTCCTGGTTAGACCCCAGAGTTCTGACCCTGACCCCAAAGTCACTTCTCCATTAATAGCTCAGAGGGGGCCTTGCTTCGGCTGCCTACCCAGCTCCCCTTGGGGACCCGAGCCCGTTCTCTGACCCCAGCTTAAAGGAACTAAGTGTTGCCAGGCCGGGGTGGGGAAACAATGGGTCTTCCGGAGCAGGATGACACCCCCTCCCGCTACAATCTGAAGCAGCAGCGTGGGAGGGAAGATGGAGGGGCCCACCCTAGAGCCTGTTGCCTTAAAACTCATAACATGAGGGAGGCTTTGGTACTCCTGGGCATTAGGTTGAGGGGGCGGGTAAAGAAAGCTCCTGAACTCAGATAAACCTTCTCTTGAGGGTGGGGTGTGCTATCCCTGCCCTGGCATCGGACCTCCACACAGACACCGACCACTTTGATCATAGGTTTTAATGGTCTCAAAGAGAAGTGCTATTGTGGTTAGAGATACGGGGCCCCCGCCAGGCTCTCCCTTTGGACTTCAATAGAAACGATGTGATGTCCTGGTACCATGGCCAGACCCAGCACACGGGGTTCCCCCGCAGAAAATGAATCTGGAAAAAAAGGTCAAAGCATCAGAACGGCAGGCAAGCATCGGTCTCGCCCCGGAAAATGAGGGGTGCAGTAAGGCCCGCAAGAGGAAATGCCTTGCGGTTAAGTTTACGCCGCATTCCCGAGAAGGTGTGTATTCCCTGGACACTGACCAGACGGCTTGAGGAACTCCTGCGCAGAGCCCAGGATGACATTACAGTCGCGATCGGTGCATAGGAAGCAGCCGACTAGTGTCCTTCCATCTGTCATACGAATGCGCATGGTCTTGTTGAGCAATGCTTCTAGCTGCTGCCGGGCACGCGCGGCCGGCGAGTCCTCCTGTTCCCCGTCAGAGTCCTGCTAGGGCAGGACACGAATTCAGGCGCGCGCAGTCTCGGCTGCACGCCCGTAGAACCACAGCTCCCAGCAGGCCGCGCGGCACCGCCTGAAGCCCGGGGGCTGCTGGGAACTGCAGTTCCCTCTTCTGTCCTCTCCACCCCCTTCCCCTCTCCGCCCGATGTCGTGCCCGACTGCTCCTCCAGAACCCGAGCCCACGCTAACCCCGGCGCTGGAGCTGCTCTGACGCCGACTGCAGCAGCCGTTCTCCTCTCGTAGCAGCATGGTTGGCCCAGCTCCGGCCATTGGCCCTGGGACCTCCTTTGGGCCTTAAACTTCCTAAGAGCGTTTTGGGTCGGGGTATTCAGATCTCGCGAGTGCTCCCAAGCGCTTCCCTTTCGTGAGATCACAACTCCTCCGCGTCTTCGGTTCCGCCACTCCAGAGATCTCGCGAGATTTTATTTCAGCCCAGGCTCATAGATGCCTACTGTTATAAGACTATCGCGAGAACTTCACCTGAAATTTCTTACACATCCTTTAGAAATGCCTGAAATTTGAAAATTTTTTCTATTCTGGTCTCCCCACCGTCTTTTTCTGTTACTCCTAAATAACTCATGTAGTCTAGACTCCGTTATCAACCGGATCGCTTTCATCTTCTCTAAGAACCAATTCAACAACATGCGCGGTGCCGGAATCAAGAATATGCTTCCGGTGAACGCGCGCAGCTCAAGCCCCGCCCTGCTTACGCAGAGTTTAACTTCGGCGGACGGTGGCCGGAGAAGGACAATGGTTTCCATGTTAGCGACAAACGCACTCTGGGTAGCTCTTGAACCTGGTAGTTGTAAGAGTGCTGAGGAGCGAGAAAGTAGCCAAGGGAGCCGGTGCGCCTTATAGAACAGGAGCCATGCCGCGCCGGGGCCTAGTGGCGGGGCCAGACTTTGACTATTTTCACCGTCGGTATTTCACGCCGTCAGAAGTAGCGGAACACAACCAGCCCGAAGACCTTTGGGTATCTTACCTGGGCTATGTGTACAATCTGACGCCCCTTGTCCAAGCGTTTAAAGGTAAGGGACACGCGTTAGGGAATGGCTGGGGAGCTGGCTTTGGCTCTTGGGTGGCCGGCCTTTGACGGCCGCTGTTCCTTTTCAGGGGACCTACTGCTGAAGCCCATCCTAGAAGTTGCAGGCCAGGACATTAGCCACTGGTTTGATCCAAAGACTAGAGATGTAAGTTCTGTTGGAATGTGGGGTTGGTGGAAGTGACGCTGGAGAGCGGGGAGAGGGGGAGGGACGGCGGGTTAATAACCAGAACCCGACAAAGTGATTGCTCCTGTCATCCTCTCTAAACCCTTGCTTTTAAAGATTCGCAAGCACATAGATCCGATGACTGGTTGCTTGAGATACCGCACCCCGCGGGGCCGCTTCGTGCACGTCCCACCTCCTCTGCCTCGTTCAGACTGGGCCAATGATTTCGGGAAGCCCTGGTGGAGGGGGTCGACCTACCAGGTGGGGCGGCTGTCTGCCAAGACCCGGAATATCCGTATTATTAACACTCTTACGTCGCAAGAGCACACACTGCAGGTGAGATATGGTGCCTGGGGACAGGCTAGTGGGAACCAGAAATCATTTCGGGGAGCTATGTTTTCTTCCTGTCACACTGTTATGAACAGGAAAGCAAATGACCCGGGTTCCCAGGGTTGGAAATTTTAGATGTGTGTTTAGATTACAGCTACCAGCCTCCTTCATAGGTCCAGGCCAGCATCTTAGTGATGGTGGTCCCTGGAAAGGTGTCTGTGCTGTTGCAGACAGCAATTGAACTCTTAGTCTACTCAATGACAGGTGGGAGGCACTGGCTTGGACTCTGTTGAGCCATTTGTTTGTTAGAAGTGATAGGACTCTGGTGTCTTTATTGTATGCTGGAGCCTCAGCTTTACTTCTCTGGGACTATGGGGTGCCTGAAGGGTGCTATCTGCTAATGGAGACACTCTGATCCAAGCTCTGTCGTTTTGGGGGACTGGATTTACTTCTGGTATTCTCCCCAGTTTCCTTAGAGCAAATCCTAAAGGATCTAGGCGCAAGGGCCCTTCTCCTGGCCTTTGGGGAGCGTGTGTGTGTGTGTGTGTGTGTGTGTGTGTGTGTGTGTGTGTTCCATACAGAATTCTAGAGGTGAATATTTCTGTGTTCTTTAGGTGGGGGCTCTGGAATCAATGTGGGAAATCCTACACCGCTATCTCCCGTATAATGCACATGCTGCCAGCTACACATGGAAATATGATGGGAAGAATCTGAACATGGATCATACCCTGGAAGAAAACGGGATCCGGGATGAAGAAGAAGAGTTTGACGCTCTTAATATGGATGCTACACTTCACATACCCGCAGTACTGCTCTACTTCAATGATGACCTCACAGAGTTATAGGAAAGGAGATGTATGTGCATGTGGACTCAAGTTATATTTGAGTTTGCCTCTTTCTATGCTTTGAGGAAAAGAGGTGTGGGTCTGTGGGCCTGGGCCTAGACACCTGTTGCCCTCTGGGAACTGGCCTGTGGTTCTTGTGCCTTTCTGAAATGTAAAGGCTCTTATCCCTAGCTCCTCTATGATTTGCTCAGAGCATATTAGTGGGGATACTAGAAGAGAATTAATCCCTAGAATTGATAGGAAGAGACCTAGGGTCTTTCAGTTTGGAGTGTGTAGAGGAGGTAGAGTTCAGGCAGAACTCTTTGATAGTAAGAGAAAGACACACAGGGATGAAGGGATGGGAGAGATTTTTTGGTAAAGATGAGAAGGAGATGTTTGCAGGAAGATGGGATTTACAAAGACAGGATCTGGAAATTCCTATCACCAGCTATGTTTGGTTGGTTGGTTGATTGCCTTTCTAAAGGTGTTTAGCAGTTGACACCCCAGGAAAAGTGGATGACTGTTAGTCAGTTCAGGATAGAAATTATGCTAAGAGTTTTATACTTTTTAATACAGCTATCCTATAAGGTGAATACTGGTAATGCTATTTCACAGACAGTTCCTTAGGAGTTTAGAAAGGTTTGGTAGCACAAAAGTACATTAGTTGGTAACCTGAGAGTGCCACAGTGCAAACCAAAGCCTGCCCAGCTTGGAAAGCCAGGCTCTTTTCAGTGTGAAGGCATTCTCAGTAGCTTCACCTAACACTTTTTTAAAATATTTTTTTTAAGATTTATTTTATGTACATGGTGCTCTTTCTGCATGTACATTCATGCCAGAAAAGGGCATCAGATCCCATTAATAGATGGCTGTGAGGCACCATGTAGTTGCTGGGAATTGAACTCAGGTCCTCTGGAAGAGCTGCCAGTGCTCTTAACCGCTGAGCCATCTCTCTGGCCCCCTCACCCAACGGTTCTGATGGCTGCTATCAAACCATGTTTTTGGAATGTGAGCTTGTCTTAGGCCTGTTGCACAGTGGGAAATGTAACCTATTGTGTAGTCAACATGCACCGTTTGAAGGGAGTTCACTAGCAGAGCACTCTGGGAACAGAGGCTGCTGCTTTATCAATATTATAGCAAGATTTCTGACTGTTTGGGGGCAACAAGGTAGATATTTACTGACTCCAGGAAAAATCAGAATGGAGAAAGGGCCTGTAGCTCAGACATTGTAGTGAGGGACCTGGAGGGCCACTTTCTTCTTCCTTTTGACATTTACAGAAGGCAAGGAAGACAGGGTTGACTTTCTAAGCTGGTGACTCTGAAAGATGGGAGCTAAGGGAGGTAGACAACTCTCCTGGTGATTGGCTAATTTAGTTCCCTGTATCCCTAGCAGGGGAGGGGAATTAAGAATAACTGAAAAACTGAGCCAGGCATGGTGGCTTTAATCCCAGCACTGGGGAGACAGAGGCAGGCAGAAATCCATGAGTTTGAGACCAGCCTGGTGTACAAAGTTAGTTCTAGGACAGCCAGAGCTGTTACACAGAAAAACTGTCTTGAAAAAAAACAAAAACAAAAACAAAAAACAAAACCGAAAAGAATGAGATAAGCAGACTTCCCCGTGGCATCAGGCAAAAATAAATCAAGGACAGCGCCTCTTCCCAGCCTCGGCCTCAGGTTCCAGTGGAGGGTAATGTGACCTCCATGAGACACGGGGTGGGCTGCATTGTTTTCTGAGAGGGTGACTGTGGAAGCGTGAACAAAGGTGGGAGCAGCCCCGTTGATTTCGGTGGTTCCTGAATCCATGAATGCTGAGGACCTCACGCAGCCCCATGCAGTCTAAAAATCCATACGTTGTTTGGATCCATCCATCAGATGTTTAGTCAGCTCTGAACTGATCTTACATGTATTCTTGTTTGTTTTCCTAAGCCCTAAACTATTTGAGAACCAAAGCCATGTTGTTCCTCCCATGGCATCCTCAGGGCATGCACTTCTGGGATGAGCTCTTTTTGCCCAAACTTGCCTGTCTTCCAGAGCATCCTATTCTTACTTTACCTGGGATGGGCTCTCCCTCTATATATAGCCCTGGCTGGCCAGGAACTCAGCTCCCCACCACACGCCTCTACTTTCCACCTCGATTATCCTAAATATTCCTTCGATTTTCCTTTCTTTTTTTTTTTTTTTTTTTTTTGGTTTTTCGAGACAGGGTTTCTCTGTGTAGCTTTGCGCCTTTCCTGGAACTCACTTGGTAGTCCAGGCTGGCCTCGAACTCACAGAGATCCGCCTGGCTCTGCCTCCCGAGTGCTGGGATTAAAGGCGTGCGCCACCACCGCCCGGCGATTTTCCTTTCTTTTTTAATCCCACCCTCCCGAGTTAAGTTTTCTTAGCACTGTGCATTTTCCAGTGTTCTTATTATCACTAGAAAACAATGGAGAATGGATGAAAATGACTGGCTGGCTGCTAGACTGTAAGCTCGTAAGGGCAGAAATCCCATTCACTGCTGTATTCTCATTACCGAGCACATAGCTGCTGCTCAATAAATAAATGATGAATGAACTCAGACATCAAGGAATTCATCTGGAATAACTAGTGGGTGTGACACAGTGTCCTGAAGGCAAAGCGGGACCAAGGGATAGTAGGATGCCTGGCCTATGCCTGGGTCTCCACCCGAACACGTTTTTGTTGTTTGTTTGAGCAGAATGACTCTGCAGACTCTGGCACCAGAGACCCTTGTGGGTAATCCACCTGTGATTTCCCCTGTGGCCACCAGGTGGCTCTAATGACTAAAGAGTCAGGGAGAGAGGAGCTGTAAAACCCAACTTCAAAGAAGTTAGAATGGAACCCCAGCGGTGGTAATGGACTCATGTTAGGCATTACATGTCTGTAATCCTAGCACTTGAGAGGCAGAGGCAGAAGGATCTCTGTGAGTTCGAGGCCAGCCTGGTCTACAAAGCAAGTTCTAGTACATCTGGAGCTGTTACACAGAGAAACCCTGTCTCAAAAAGAAAAACAAACAGAAAAATAGAATTGAAAGGGTATGAGGGCTTTATAGTGGGGAAGTCGGGAGAGGGTCGTGGGAAGGACAGTCAAGGCTACATCGAGAAACCGTGTCTCATAAATAAATAATACGGAAGTCACTAATGGGGCTGGAGAGCTGGCTCTGTGGTTAAGAACACTGAGTGCTCTTGTAGAGGACCAGGACTCCATTCCTAGCACACACAAGGTGGCTGACAACCGTCTGTAAGTCTAGTTCTAGGGATCCGACACCAGTCTCCAGCATTGCATGCGTGTGGTGTAGGCAAGGCATCTGCACACACACATCTCAAACAAAGGTCATTTATGGGATGAGATGAGTAGTAGGTGTGTAGAGCTCAGGATGGAGTTCAGTGGTAGAGCATCTGTCAGAGGGGTGGGTGTGTATGGGGTGAGGTTTAGCGTTTAGGAATGAGGAGAACATCACATCTTGTTTTGTGATGTGGCTAGATTTAGTCCCCTTTAACCCTCACAGGGGAGGGGAATAAACAGTGAGGGATAAGTGGACTTCCCTGCGGCAACAGGCAAAAATGAATCAAGGAGTGTATCTTCCCAGCTGCCGCCTCAGGCTCCAGCGTAGGACACTAGGTGGGCTGAAGTACTGAGTATGCAGTTTTGGAGATGGTCTCACTATGCCGTCCAGGCTGATGTCAAACTCCCGATCCTCCTGTCTCAGCCTCCTGAGTGCCGGCATTGCAGGAGTGTACCACTGTGCCCAGTGTCTTAGGTCTCTACTGCTGTGACAGACGCCGTGACCAAAGGCAACCTGGGGAGGGAAGCGTTTATTTCAGCTTACGGTTGTAGTCCATCATGAAGGGAAGCAGGGCAGGAACTCAAGGCTAGAGCCTGGAGGTGGGAGCTAAAGCAGAGGCCGTGGAGAGCGGGGCTTGCTGGCTTGCTTCTCGCGTTGTGTTACGCTTGCTTGTTTTTGTTTGTTGTTTGTTTTTGTTTTTCTGAGAAGGTTTCTCTGTGTAGCCCTAGTTGTCCTGGATCTCGCTCTGTAAACCAGGCTGGCCTCGAACTCACAGAGATCTACCTGCCTCTGCCTCCCGAGTGCTGGGATTAAAGGTGTGCGCCACCACCACCCAGAAGCCTGCTTTTTTATACAACTCAGGACCACTGGTCCAGGGTGGCACTCCCAGTGGACTGGGGCTTCCAACATCAACCATTCATTTTAAATGCCCCATAGACTTGCCTATGGCGTTTTGTTTTCTTTTTTTTATAAATATTTTTATTTTATAATTAATTTAATTTCACATATCAGCCACGGATTCCCCTGTCCTCCCTCCTCTCACTCCCCAACCTTCCCCCCCAATCCCACCTCCTCCAAGGCAAAGTCTCCCCTGGGCAGTCAGCCCAGCCTGGCACATTCAGTTGAGGCAGGTCCAGTCCCCTCCTCCCTGCACCAAGGCTGAGCAAAGTGTCCCAGCATAGGCCCCAGGTTTTCTAAACTCGGGCTCCTTTTCCTCGATAATTCCAGCTTGTGTCAAGATGGCAAAAGCACTACGACACCAGGGAGTCCTCACCATAGCAGAGGTGCACGGGACGCTGACTGTGAGAAGTGAGGACACCAGCGAGTCCTCACCATACCAGAGGTGCACGGGACGCTGACTGTGAGAAGTGAGGACACCAGCGAGTCCTCACCATACCAGAGGTGCACGGGACGCTGATTGTGAGAAGTGAGGACACCAGCGAGTCCTCACCATACCAGAGGTGCACAGGACACTGACTGTGAGAAGTGAGGACACCAGCGAGTCCTCACCATACCAGAGGTGCACGGGACGCTGACTGTGAGAAGTGAGGACACCAGCGAGTCCTCACCATACCAGAGGTGCACGGGACGCTGACTGTGAGAAGTGAGGACACCAGCGAGTCCTCACCATACCAGAGGTGCACGGGACGCTGACTGTGAGAAGTGAGGACACCAGCGAGTCCTCACCATACCAGAGGTGCACAGGACGCTGACTGTGAGAAGTGAGGACACCAGTGAGCCCTCACCATACCAGAGGTGCACGGGACGCTGACTGTGAGAAGTGAGGACACCAGCGAGTCCTCACCATACCAGAGGTGCACAGGACGCTGACTGTGAGAAGTGAGGACACCAGCGAGTCCTCACCTGCTAGAGGTGCACAGGATGCTGACTGTGAGAAGTGAGTCATTTATTAATATTTGTTAGTTGTTTTGTTAGAGGCTTTCCAGTAGCTGCCATCTTGTCCTAAGACTAGATATTTGACATGAGGCCTATGTGACAAATCTTTAAGCTGAGGCCTAGAAAGCAAACAGAACACGGTGTAGGGTACAAGTCCTTCTGTGTGAGTGATTGTGTGTGCTGGAAGGAGATGGGGTAGAGGACACAATGTTAGAGTGGCTGACCTCAGTAAACCACAGCGGCATCACAGGACTCGGATGGCAGCCTTCTACAGACCGGCTCCCATACACTTCACTGGGGACAAGAAGCTTATGTTCCTTGTAGGTAAAATACCAATTGTTGTATAGAAAAGATTTCTACCTCATGGCAAGTCACCTGGACATCTTGAAACCTTCTAAATGTGTGTGTGTGTGTGTGTGTGTGTGTGTGTGTGTGTGTGTGTGTGTTCACGCGATTTCCACCAGATTCCCCAAAGAGCCCAAACCCCTGCCTACAATAGTAGTTACACTCATGTAAAAATAACAAAACTTTAAAAGCCTCAAACGTAACAAACAGGCAGCCTGGCACCAGTAATGCTCTATGTCAACCCATATCACATTCCTTCTGTTCCCATGGCAGACATTTCAAAGTGTTGATCTCCGGAGTTAATGACTGGTCTGAAGTATTTTACTGCTATCCTAGAGTATTTGGCCTGGCTATGTCTTGTAGCTGAAGGGTGTGTCTAGCTCTTTTATGCTGGAGACTATATAGCCCCAGCCACGACATCTGGGTAAGAGTGCACACAGTTGTGTTGTTATTAGGAGAACAGACACTTTATGATAGGTCAGCAAGAGGGCAGGGAGAGTGCAAGAAAGCAGTGTCTGAAACCTAAATGATCCAATGGTCCTTGTCTTGGAGATGAGAACTTCGGTGTTCAAAATACAAACAGATACGGAAATCATTGGATATGGATATTTTAGGCACATGGGAAACACTCTAAAATAAAGCTAGTGTGTGAGTAAGTGAAGGGAGGCCATTAAAGGGGACAGGGATAAAGCAGACATGAGGAACAAGATGTTAGTCTGCTAGAACCCTGTCTCTTCCTTGCCTGGAGTAGCGCCATCTAGTGCCCTCTGAGAGCTATTGTTTAGTGGGAACTCAGCAGTCACCTAATCATCCTTGTATCCCCAGTAACCATATAATGCCTGACATAGGATTTTAACAAATAAATGCTTATTTCAAGAGTGAACAGCACGGGGATGAAGAGATGGCTCAGCAGTTTAGAGAAATTGTTGTTGCTCTTGCAGAGGATCCAGGTTCAATTCCCAGTATCTGCACGGTAGTTCACAACCATCTATAATTCCAGCTCCAGGGTACTTGCTGCTCTCTTCTGGCCTCTGAGAGTGCCAGGCATACACGTGGTTTATCCAGACAAAACACTCATACACATAAAATAAAAAATAAATCAGAGAGTTAAAAAAAAGAATGAAGTTACACACAACTCCCACTTTTAAGTCCCTGTGAACCCGAGTCAAGGGTCCCTTTCTAGCTAATCTCCACCTCTGAGATCTGGATGGTGACATGTGCACCGATGACTGTCCCGAACCTTTCACTGAGCAGCAGGGAAGATGACAGGCTTGGACTTGTCAGGCTAAAGGGGTAAACTTCAACCCTAATACACCACAGGGTTTGGCCGCACGTGACAAAGCTGTCTAAGTTAACGGCAAAGGCTTCATTTTATCCACATAACCAAAGGTCTGCAGTTAGCGAGGCCCTGATCCCACTGGACCAGCAGAGTCCGAGTCCTCTCCCCTTTAACCCTCATGCTCGTCGACTTTCTGGCTGCTCGGGTAACGGGACAGCAGAAAGGACAGTGCCTGCTTCAAGAAGGCACAACATGCCGGGCGGTGGTGGCGCACGCCTTTAATCCCAGCACTCGGGAGGCAGAGCCAGGCGGATCTCTGTGAGTTCGAGGCCAGCCTGGACTACCAAGTGAGTTCCATGAAAGGCGCAAAGCTACACAGAGAAACCCTGTCTCAAAAAACCAAAAAAAAAAAAAAAAAAAAAAAAAAAGGAAGGCACAACATGTCAACCTTTTTAGCAGACCTTTGGTTTGGAGTTTTGTTATTGTTGTTTTGTTTATTTGTTTTTCTTCTTTGTTTTTGAGACAGGGTCTCACTGTGTAGCTCTGGCTGGCCTGGAGCTCTCTATGTAGACCAGGCTGGCCTTGAACTCAGAGACCCTCTCAACTATGCTTCCAGATCGGCCATTAGACTAGGTTGTAATTATGGGAAATGGATTACAAAGGATTCTGAGACAGTACCTATGACACCCCAAACCAAAGAACAGACACTGGATAGGAACCACTGAAATCTTCCATTCACCAACAGTGTAAAATGTG